GATAGATAGATAGATAAATAGAGAGCAACAAAAAGAAAGAAAATGTAAGAAAGAGATAGATAAAACGACAGAACAACAGAATGATAAGAAATAAAGAAAGACAGATCTTTTCAATTTATTTTTGAGTGAGATCTCTTTAGGGTTAGATGTTTTGACAAAGCAATAATCAGTAGCCTTAGAAAGTACCACTAATACTGTGATAAAGTAAGTTTAGTCAAAGTTGGAGGTTGACATCAGAAAGCAATCTTGGAGCTTTTCAACTCTTTTCAACTCTTTCTCCAATATTCCCCCAATACAAGAACTGCACTGCCACACTGTTTGTTCAGCACCAACACGACCTACTCTCAGACAAATTAATAGCTGAAGTCAATCAAATCATCATAAAAGAGCTCAGTCTGACAGTTCATTACTAGAGAAATCTCTGTGAGACCACTCAGGAATACTTTTCTTTATCTTGACAGCGACTGGAATGTAGTTAGACAGGAGTTATGCAATGTTTTTAAACCATTTAATTCACTCTCTGATCATTAATGAAATCACAAGGGGGAAATCTCTTGACAAAGAGTCTTTTGTCACAAAATCTTCAACTGAAATGACACCAAAACTTTGCCACTAGGATATCTCAGCTCTCTAAAAAGCTTCTTTGTGGCTTTATGATATGATGAACAAGAAACAGTCTTCATGGCTCCGGAGCCCCGATGTGGCCTATATCAATGTTTTTATCTATTCTTCTGGGACCATTATATTTCATCCTAAAATCATGCCTTATCTGTACACTGGGCTAGAGGCTGTCATAAAAGAAAAAACACATTTGAATGCTTAAACATTAATCACAGGCAGTGGACTCTCTCATTAGCAGTGCTTGCTAAGGCAAACATCACTATTACGATTGCTCAAAGCTTATTCAAATCCCTGGCCCTAAGTACTGCAAGACTAGAAAACATCTCACAACATCTGAGAAGGAACTCGTTCTAAGCATCAAATTTGTGTTCACTAATGGTTCAAAAGTTTGTCTTTTAGGTCTCGTATGCTCACCAAGGATGCATTGATTTGATAAAAATATAGTACAGTTAAATTGTTAAATATATATATTTTTTAATTTGTAATATATTTTAAAATATAATTTTATTTATAAAAATGTTTATATTGTTTTGTAATATTTTTCTATTTTAATATAATGTAATTTATTCCTGAATTTTCAGCATCATTACTCCACTTAGAAATCATTCCAACATGCTGATTTGCTGCTCAAGAAACATCTCTTATTATTATTTGTTGAAAACAGCTTAATATTTGTAATTTTTGTGAGTGAATGATGACAGAATTTTTTTTTTTTAAGAATCTTTAATTTTTACAAATCTCAATGAATATAATAAAAAATAGAATTTATTGCAACACTATAAATGTCTTTATGGTCACTTTTGATTCATTTTATGCATTCTTGCTAAAAAAGTATTACATACTTACTGACCCCAGACTTTTGAATGGTATTTTGATAAGTTCAATAATTTTCTAACATCCAACAAGGAATGTTTTAGCAAGAAAGGCTCATAATCAAATGCTATAAAACCTTTCAACAAATTGAAAAGACGTCTGGGCATCAGTTTTTTCTTACTTTAGTCTGCAACTTCAGTCATTCCACTGTGGCAAGCCGAACTAATTAGCAGATAGAATGAAAAAAAAATGTTATTTTATGGCACGTGCCAAGAATTGGTCTTCCCAGAGGTTTCTGCATGCTCAGGATGGTGGAGAGAGCTTGGGATTTGGAACATCACATGCTGAATTTACCGCATGCGAGGTTGAATATCATGCATTTTCTTACATGGCTATATTTTAATCCTAAAATGGGGCACTTTTTGGGTTGAATCTACAGGCCAAAGTCCAGAAAGTCCAAAATGTATACCTGCAGTTCAGCAAAGCACTCTTGTGCTAGATTGTAAAGCTCTAACACTCAGACACAGCTGTGGTCTCCACAAATGCATTAGCTTCTGCTCTCAGCTCCTGTGCCCTCAGAGGAAGCCTGTATCATGATGTTTCCAGATGTGGGTGGTGGAATGAGGGTGAAATCCATCTTCCTGCATTTGGCAGCTCTTCAACGCAACACAATTGGCTTTAAAGGAATGGATGCTGGTATAAGATTAGCTGGTCCTCTAGAATGTCAGTATGTGAGCGCTTCTTCTACTTAGCTTCCCACCAGCCAACATGATCCTTTCTCTATCCTGTTATCCTTGCTAGATGAGCTATATGTAATTTGCTCTGGACTTCCGCCATTCAACTCCATTTTTGTTACTACTGTTAGTTTACAAAAAATGAAAATTGTGTCATTTAATCACCCTCATGCTTGTTACAAAACTACTGTACAACTTTACAAGACTTACATATGAAGGATTCTTAGATTTATACCAATGAGTTTCTATGGCTTTTCTATAATTACTGAATAAAAAAAAAGAGACTATCCATAAAAAGCTATTTCTAGCAGATTAAATATTTTAAATATTTTATGATATATTAGCTATATACCAGTGCTGCTATTGTTAACTCAAACAATTACAAAAATTAAATATAAATTTTAAGAAAAACATTAGAAATGTTGCCTTGGCAACTAACTGAAATAAATAAGTGTCGGTTGAAATAGTAAAATTACAAACTAAAACAAAACATAAATTACAGCTAAATAAACAGAGAAAAAGGACATAAAATTACTGAAATTTAAACTAAAATTAAAATGAAAACTGAAAATATAATAAATAATTAAATTAATAAAAATTAATGTCAGTTACTTTAAGATTTTATTAATTTTCTTGACTTTTCCAGGCCTGGAAATTATATTAAAATTCCTTGATATTTCCAGGTTTTCCATGAAATCCTAAAATAGTGCACACACCAAATAAACCACTTTTATGATGCATTTATGGTGCTTTTTGAGCTTTAGATCTCCTCACTCCTCGTCCCCATTCACTCACGCTGTATGGAAAAGATTGGTCAGGACATTCTGCAAAACATCTAATTTTTGTGTCGCACAGATGAAATAAATTAATATGCCTGAAATGACATGAGAGTGTTTAAATGATGATAGAACTATCATTTTTGGCTAAATGGTTACATTTTATGTTTGAAAGAAGCCTTAAATATAGCCTTAAATATATATACAACATGAATCTAATGAAAAACTTACTAGAAAGGTGGCGATGGCCACACCGATGATAAAGCCAGCGATGACGTCAGACCAGTGATTACGATACTCTGCCACCCTGTTAATACCCGTAAGGAAAGCCAGGCACATCAGACCCAAAGACATGACTGGTTTAGCCAGACGAGTTCCTTTGGCTTTCACTGTAAATGTGATGTACATCTGAAATCACAGAGAAAAAAACTAATCATATTAAAATAATGATTTTGATTTGCAATCATTTGATGTTCCTCTCACACAACTGTTTTCTGTACTCCTTTTTTTACTGGTTAACTAGTCATTAAAATAACACATGTAAATATCCTCCAAAATGCATAGCAATCCGACTACACAAACCTCACGATTTGAGATGCAGATAAGATGTCATTGTGAATGCATCAGGTTAGTCAAGCCAAAACTTAAAACCTTCTTCCTCCCAAACCAAACTATGTCAACATCCAGACACTCAGGAATCCCACAATCATGAACGGAATTGAACACCAATTGCCATATAGGGCAAAAAGAGCATAAACAGAAAGCACTTTAACAGCCTACTGTTGTTATGGTTACATCCTCAGGCGAATGTCACTTGTTTGCGAGCATCTATTTGTGACTAGGTGAAAATATGTGCTCTGACTAACTTACAATCTACATTTTTTTTTTAAACATTCATAATGTCATATGTAGAATTAAAACTGCTTTGTTAATATACAAGGCCTCCTGAAGTATTCAGACATATCATTTTGAAAAAAAAAAAAAACGCAAGGAGAATGGATGCAAAACTTACCCTTACTGTAACTGAACTAATAGACGCTTAAAAATTAAGGTTCTTTATTGGTTTTGATGGTTCCATGACCGTTATCATCCATTGAACATTTCCATTACACAAAAGGTGGAAAGGTTCTTTTATGAACTGTTCACTGAAAGGTTCTTTAGGAAACCAAAAATGGCTCTTTTATGGCATTTTCTGCGGAAGCACCCTTGAAAACATTTATTTTGAAGTGAACAGAGTCCTTTAGCAAGACATTCATCCTTTAATGGATATAGGCATGTCACTGTGTGTGTATGAGTGTGCATCTCAGGGAGGTTCATGGGCCTGTGGACAGCTATCCAACACTCACTTAGAGCAGTCAGGTAAGACAGAGTGGCTAAAACAAGCCTATCCATCCAGAGAGAGATCTGTGTTGTGACTTTGTAAGTCACGTCATAGCAAGTGAATGAGAAAATGTGGACAAATGTGGGACAGTCCTGCCGACTCATTCTGGAGTGTGCCTGAGTGTCAGCGCTGAAGGTCATAGATAATCAGCCATCACTCCTGAGGAAACGCCCCACAAAGACAGTAATTGTTACCTTGTGCGAGTCTGAGATGCTATAGCGCTGTCTCGCTCTTTCAGAGTCTCTCTTTTGGACTCAAAGGTCATTGTCACATTGTGACCTGATTTTATTCTTTCTCCAAGAGGAGTTCTGGTGAGCAGGTTTTTGATGTCCTCAAATTTCAATATGAATAACTGTGTTTTTGGAGGATAAAGCCAGACAGATCAGACAAATGAATGCAGACTCAAATTTCATACAAAATACAGTTATGCACCTCTAATAAATGTGTATCTGGTAAGGCATTTTGGAGGTTTTCAAAACCTATTTTCATTACAGTATTTTCAAGCTGTGAAGTCCTTTGTCATCATCTAATGCTCACTTTTAACTCTCATTTAATTTTTAAACCACTAAGAATTTAATAACAATGTTAATTCAATCTAATCTAATTTTTATAGTGTACATTACAATATTGTAATGCCTACATTTAGCATTTAAAATGACTGATTTGAATTATTTTGTGTTTTATGTTTAATCTATTTGGAAAAAAACAAGATAGAACGTTAATATCAGTCATAACATATGCACTAACTTTGGAGTCAGTCAAAAACATTTTTTACAAAAATGTTTTACAAATTTTGCTGCATTTATTTGATAAAACACAGTACAATCAGTAAATATGTGAAATATTATTACAATTTAAAATACATTTTCTATTTTAATATATTTTAAAATGTAATTTATTTCTGGGATAACAAAATTGAATTTTCAGCATCATTGCTCCAGTGTTCAGTCACATGAACCTTCAAAAATGATTCTAACATGCTGATTTGGTGCTCAAGAAATATTTATTATTAATGTTATATAAACAGTTATATAAAAAAAATCAGGCTTCTTCGATCAATAGAAAGCTCATAAGAACAGCATTTATTTGAAATGGAATTTTCTTGCAACAATGTAGAAGTCTTTAGTGTCACTTTTGATCAATTTAATGCATCCTTGTTGAATAAATGGATTCATTTCTTGAAGAAAAAAAAATCATACTAACCTCAAACTTTTAAACGGTACTTTAATTTAATAAGTGCATCCCAATTTTTCTCAAAAAACAAACAAACAAAAAACAACCTGTTTTACTTAGAAGTGTGTCAGACTACAAAAATAAAATGAGTTGTGAGTATTGTTGCACGCTGACATTTCTCTGTCCTACATTTTGCATGTGCGATTCAGGAGCCGGTTGAGTCCTCAGTCATCTGCCTTCAGGGCTTCTGTCAAAAACCATGTAGTCTTTTTGAACGCAACAAAACGTCATCTCACAGGTCAAGGGCAGAGCCTCTGGACTGCCTCAAATCTGCAGAGAGTAAGTTGTCAAAATATCAATTTTACACACTGTTGCACAGCCGTAAAGTTCTTTCCCGAGAGATACCATGTGTCCTTCCTGTCGGGCCGACTGGCCATCTGCTGTGATATGGCCAGATGATGTTAATTTACATCATCTGAAGGCCTAAAAGATATTTTTATTGTATTTGTGACAGCTATCATATTCAGGATTGAGAACATCACATTATTGTTCAAAGACTTTATCAAACTGTCTCAGTTTGCCTTGATAGTTTTTGGAGAAAGTCAATCTCCCACGGGACGGGAGTCTGACAAAGTTATGAAACTCTGGAAATGGACTGACTCACAATATCCTGTCAACTCTTCTGACTTCATTTGCCACCTCATTCTTCAAACCTGAAAAAAGTGTTAATGTGTGTTCGCAGCTCTGTTCCAAAAACTAGTGAGCTGCTACTTAGACTGCAGACTCATAAGTGAAATTAATCATTATGAGACCAACTGGAAGTCTCTTTATTACTTAAATAAAGAAAGGCAAAAATGTCCAAAATGGTTTGTTAAAATTGCAGTTAAATACCATATATAAATACAGCAAAACTGGTAACATAAATTTAGCTTGTTCATCTCAAAGATACTCGACTATACTCTAAGAATTTAAGGGCGTTAGGTTTAGCACCTAATGTTACCCAAAAGAATATACATAAAATACACAAAATTGGGTAAAAAAAAATCAATTTTAATTAGATATTACATACAAAACTGATCAAAAAATAAAATCTCCAAGGATGCATTAAATTAATCAAAAGTGACAGTAAAGAAATTACAACAGATATTTCCAAAAAAAATCGATTTATTATTCATTTTAAAATATACTTTTTTATCTATTTCATATAAATTCTGTTCTTTTGAAATCATCAATTCATCCTAGTTTCCACAAAAATATTAAGCAGCACAATTTTTTCTATCATTGATAAAAATAAGAAATAGTTCTTGAGCACTAAATCGGAATAATAGTATGATTATATTAAAATAATAAACAGTTATTTTAAATTGTAATAATATTTCAAAATATTACAGTTTTTAGTGGATATTTGATCAAATAAATGCAGTCTTGGCGACATCTTTCAAATAAAAAAAATAATAAAAAAAACTTACTTTTGAACGGTTGTGTATATATTTTTTATCTTAGATATATTAATCACTACTTTACTAAATTAAAAATATTCAGAATTAGGATTTCTCTCATTCATTTTTCAAAAATGCATTATGCATTAAAACAGCTTGAAGCTGTTAAACACTAACACACATGACCGAAGTATGGAAATCTACAATTGTGACTATATTGTCAGTGTAACACACTGAATCAGTGTCCTTTACCAAAAAAAAAAAAAAAAAAAACTACCGCCGTCAAATTATCAAGTTAGAAGCA